CCTACCGTCCACACTAATCCGTCACGAAAATGGAGCTTTTCAAAAAACGTTCTTCAAATCGGAAGAATTTTAAAACGCCGGCTTTTTGTTCTCGTGTGGATAGAAAAAGTTTTGAAAACACACTTAATAAACTGCAAAGCCATGAACGAAGATCCTGCCAAAAGTTGGATCTCACAGGAGATCTAATCAAAGTAAAACGATGAGAAGTCAAAGGCTACTGCAAGGCTGACACAACGTCGCATATCTATATTTAAAACAATATTTCAGCTGGGAAGACCAGCCTTCTTCAGGTTTAGATGTTACTAAATTACTTGATAAAAATGAATTTACAATATTATATAATGGTGGATGTCGTGACATATATTTCGAAACTAAAAGAAGTGGCGGAAATGACGAACAAGACGTTGAGTTCACTGAACGAGTTTTCCTCAAACACAAATCCAAAATGACTGGTGATTGTTGCGTTTTCAAATTCCTCCAGCGTAGTGTGGATGAAAAACATTTGATGCGTTTTCAGGGCGGAACCTCCGATTTCAAACTCTTCCAGCGTAGTGTGGACGAGGCATTACCCATCCACGCTCTTTACTTATCTATTGTGTTCATCGGAACACGACTACACCACCTCTAATGAGGTTACCTTTGCGTTACTCAGCCAAATGAAGAGAAATAGAGAGTAATTCAAAGTTTTGAATGTCCTTAACATGGCTGAACAGAATCTTCTGTTTGCATTTCACTATTGACCTAGACAAATCAAATCTTGGTGGTAGTCTCGACATTTTGGTGAAACAAAGGAAGTTGTCGCTATACTGGGCATTGTTGAGAAATAATCTGTATCGTTCGTATGACAAAGACGGTCAAGGTTGCAAAGTCCGCAAGTACAACTACACATACAATTTGACGAAGATATCATTGAACTCTGACCAGAATTACGAAACACTAAAATAACGAATTTTATTTGATAACAGTCCGCATGTTGGGCGGCTAATGAAGAATTGGTTCGTGCTTAGCGTGCGTATATCGAGTTATGGATGCACCCGGGAAGTTTGGACAGCACCAGCGAAGCGTAAGAGCTGCTCGAGGCGCAAAATGTAACCGAGAGAAACTCTATCGACTCTGTGGTTAATTTGAAACTTTTAACAAATATCCTTCTTAGCTAATATCTAGAAGCAACTCGTTGTCTAGTTATTGTAAGGCTCCTGGACTGCAAATTCTTTGACCTCCCTTAGATCTCAGGCGGCGACCGGAAATTCACGCTGCCTTAATATGTATTTTGTTTCCTTTCATATTCAGAATCATATGTTCATTTGCATTTTACTGTTTTGCACACGTTCATTCTTATTGTTTTAGCCAACGGGAGTCCTGGTCAAACATTTATAACACCAAAACACGGTTTTTTTTAGAAAAATGCGAAGTGATTGATGTTGTTTCGATTTGAAATCAGTCTCGAAATCGAGTCCTTGATACATTAAAAAAGCGTCCTGTGGTAAAGTAAAAGTCACCGTGAAGCAATTATTACTATCACAAGATCATTCATAGCGACTTTAACAGGTCGCGTGTCATAAAAATCACCGTAAGTTTGAATATTGGTCCGAAATTTCTACCGCGGCAATATAGTTAATTGAACAAATTATAGATCATGTAAAGAATATTTCTGGCTTTGTAGCACAACATACTCCGTACAAATAAAGATGATAAATTAAACTCGCGACTACGCTTAATATCGGCAATGACTGCTTCGACGCCGGTCAATTTTCACGATCGACTTCGAGTTTTCGGCCGCCGTAGAATTCATTTACACTTAAGTAAAAAAGCGACACTGTTGTTCATAAATGCTACACATAAGGTGCTTTTTTTGTCGTCTTACCAAACGCAGTTACTTCAAAACAGCGTCGCCGATGTGCGAGAAGTGCAACACAAAGGTTTAGTGATTCCACTTGCAATACAAAATATATATAAGTTTTATTCTTCGCCAGATTTGCACACGTTTGGTTTTATAATTATAAATCACAATATTTCAATAAACCACTACTTCTGCACGCTTTAAGTCTTTTCGTAATTCTGTTTTCACTGTACAACACAGTGAATTACCGCTAACACAGCACTAACAGTCGATCCTGTTATCGTCTGTCTAGAGGTAGGGAGTAAACTTCACAAATGCTCCGCGCGCTATGAAATTGTGGTAAAGCTTATAACCTGGTCAGGATCCTGCAGATCGGGCGAATGTTCTTGATCGGCTGTATTTTCATGCCATAGATATTTCTCTCCTCGTAATTTCAACAATGTTTCAATGAAATGACGGCGTACGGTAATCGGGTCGTATTCGTGGCGTCCGTTTGGGTTTTGACATCCTTGGCGAGTACAGCCACAGGGAAAACTATCTCGATCAACTTGACAGTTTATTCCATTCAGTTGACAGCTACATGATTCCGGCTCGCAGAACTCCTTGCAAGAACATCCGCAAATTTGTCGCGAATATCTAATTTGCATACACTCAATTGCTTCTTGTTTGTTGATTTTCTTAACGCCGGCCGCTTTCAAAATGTCCTTGCGATCTTTTTGTGGAATTGGCATGAAGCAATGGCTGTCTTCGCTGTCAGCGCTATCGTAAGAATCCTCGGTGTCGCTTTCGCTTAGATCTTCGTCCGATATAAGCGTTCTTTCGACGAAAGCGTGTTTATGTTTCATGCCAAGCGTTGTTCCTCCGTTTGAAGGCACACACGTATAACCTTGGGTACGAGGAAAGTGGAACACCGTCCTCTCGCTAAACCGGACTCGTCGATTTCGTTTGGCCCTCTGATAGTCTTCTACGTTTCCCAAGCTGTCGGCGCTGTCAGAACTAGCTGTACTCAGCGAATCTTCTTCGTCGAGTTTCCTCTTCGACATTTTCTATTTCCCCGGTTGGTTATGGTTCAGCCCAGAGGAAAATTATCAAAACGATCGAAAATTCACAGTGGCAACTTATTTGCTATGCGAATTGACAGTTTCGCGAACAGGTGTAGGTGCACCATTGAAGGGTAAAATACTATTGGACGGTGAATGTATTGTGTTTGGCCGTGCCGTCAATGAATAGAACGGCTGATGACTCTCATTCATTATTCATCGCTGATTGGATAAGGCTCCTGGTAGCGTGCTCCTATTGGCTAGTGTAGCAAAATAGTTTCTTCAACTGAAGGCGGTTTGACGAAGGTCCGTCCACGTGTTGTGAGGGCGAAAAGCCGATTCAAATCGAAGCGCTTTATTTTCGCAACAGGTACAAGCCATGTGAAACCCTTTTTCCAAATATAGATGAACCTGGGATCAAGGTTTTAGTTCGTCATTTTGAGATTTATAAAGCGAGTTATACAGCGTAGAAATTTCTACTTTTGAAAAAGTTATGAAGCATTGACGAGACTTACAATTAGCAACACAATATACATGAATAGGACAATTAGCCGCTGCTGCTTAGCAAATACGGTCACCCTACAAAATATGTTTTACACTAACATTACCATAATTTTTCCACCAGCAAGAAGGCTAAAACAAAAGTCACCTGAAAAGCTGAAGACATGTCACAGATTTCATTTCGACAGTCTTTAATACTTCCGTTCAGAAAAGCGCTAGGGTAAAATTTTGATATCGCCGGAATCCTTTAATATACTTTTTGCATTGATATGGCTTACATATCATCGTCATGATCGATCGCTATGAGAAAGGTTCCTGTAGCGATCGTAGCGGTTTATATAGAAGCCAACCTTTGGCAGATAGCCTGCAGAACAGGCGGATTAGTGGCAGGCTATTAACAGGAGAACACATGCGAATCTCCAGTTTGGGTCAGTTCAGCATTCGTCTCAGGTACTTGATCTTTTTTTTATTTTCTTTTTCAGTTAAGCACTGACTTTTCCACTGATCACGAAGTTTACTTGAATACCAGCTGACGCCTTTATGGGGCAGTCGATACAAAACTTTGTGTACGGTTTCGATCGTATTCTTTGTTAAAAAGTGAAAGACAACTCCCTGAGGTGTTCAAACATTTTTTTTTTTTTTTGACCCAATTGTGGCCTAGACTACACTTGGTTTTCTTCTCAAATAGAAATCTTGCCTTTGCAATTGCATGTTAGATCTCATACTCTTATCGGTTTTTCAACGCTCGCCTGGCTCACGGGTGATTTGTCTTCTTTTCATACTAGTCTATACGCAAGCTGAAATAGCACTGGGCAGGGGCATCAGAAAACTATTCTCTAGGCCCCACTCAAGCTTTTCCGTCCCTCTAATCCTGCTCAGCGTAGTTCGAGTCAAGTCAGGAGCCCATGACCCAGGCTCCGGCCTGGTCAAGTCATAATATCATCTAGCCAAGCAATGGTTGTGCGGGCCAGAGAACTTGAGGTTGCCCAAAAGTAAAGATATTGACAGGCAGAGCGGTGCCGAAAGAATACGCATGCTCTACATTTTAACAGAGATGCAGTAAAGGCGGCGTACTCAGGGGCGGCGCTTTTTTTCAAGTAATCGTAGGCGGTGATTCTTTGAGTACTACACCCGCTTTCAGTGTTACGTGCATAGGCGACATCTTTCGACATGATACGTGAACGACTGAAAGACCGTTTTACTGTGATACTGGCGATTCTTTTCGGTTATTAGCGGAACAAATGACAAATAAATGACAATTACTGACCTCAAATGAATGAAGAAGATTGTGGACTTTGTATGTTTCCTAATTTACGGGGTAATTCGAACGATTTTTGGTCTAGTCGATCGGCTCTCAATGGGGACTTCCGGTAGAATTACGCCGCTACCGCTCAGTTAATATTCGAAAGATAGAAGCATTCAAAATAGTCACTTTACCTCTCACAGTGTTTTCTTGTTACTCCCAACCTTAGTTTCATGTCAAATAAATCCATCTTTCACGACTAAAAGTAGAGTCTCAGTTGTGCTTACATTTTTGACGTAGGCCAGGTTACATCGCATGTCGAGAGGTGGACGGTACAGTCGCCATGCACGTAACATTGCATGTGATTGTATTTTGAACCTTTTTAGACGTTCCACATTTTTGAGGCAAGCCTTCGGTACAATGTTAATGTCTGATACTTCCTCCTGAAATCTATTTTGAAGATTTATCAGACAATTTTCATAACTTACCAAAATAGTAAGTAGAGTTACATGTAAAACAACTTCGTCACCCAAGTTTTAGAGATGGAAACACGAGGTCATATTAGGGGTATGAGACACAGGATATTTAGGGAAAATATAACGAGATACAGGATATTTTAAGGAAAAATTAATGGAATATGGGATATCTTGGTCAGATAAAGCGGGATTATTCAGCGGGAAAAACGCCCAATTTCTGCATCTTGAATTACGTGTAATGGGATATGAGATATTCAGGCCAAAAATTAAGGGGTTTTGGAATACTTAGACCCCCTTAACGGAGCCTTAGTGGGGCCTCACGAAACGAAAGCTTTTTCTTCATTGCCCGCCCAATTTGTTTATTGCAGATCAAATGATCATTTCTGAAGATTTATTTTATAACATGCCGTCTAACTTTCGAGGCACAGCAAATTTATACAAAATTAAAGCAATCACACCCCATCTACGAGTACGAGTGGGGGACATGTTAACAACAAAACAATGTTGTTCAAGTTGCAGTTATGACACAACCACAAACAAAAAAAAAACATACCAAAAACATCGCTCGCAATTAAGTAAAACTGAGGTCCTATTTCATACAACTGTTTTTGAACTGCATTACAAATAATTGTATGTCACGCAACGCTTCTAGCGCTTGCCGCTTCCCATGACTGAGACCCGAACGTACTTCAACTTACTTGCCGAAGGCAAAGTTCCGACAGAAACTTTTATATCTAAGAGAACATCTACCAAGCGAAATTGACACGGTTCGTTTACTTGCTGCTGGTGTATTTTGTGACGGCTTTTGTCCCCTCACTGACAGCATGCTTGGCCAACTCGCCGGGTAACAACAAGCGAACAGCTGTTTGGATTTCACGTGAAGAAATGGTCGACTTTTTATTGTAGTGAGCCAGACGAGAGGCTTCCGCTGCTATTCTCTCAAAAATATCATTTACAAACGAGTTCATGATGCTCATAGCTTTGGTCGATATACCAGTGTCTGGGTGAACTTGTTTGAGGACTTTGTAAATGTATGTCGCGTAGCTCTCTCGTCGCTTCTTGTGTCTGACTTTCTTCTCGCCTGGAAGAGCTGGTTTTTTCCCTGGGCTCTTCTCGCTTTTTTTACCGCTCCCTTTTGGAGGCATTTGAATAAATTTCCCTCGTCGGTGAATATGCCCAGAACTATCGACTAAATGCAGTAGTTATTATTCATAGAAACACGGCAATGGCAACCGTTCTGTTATTTATATTTCGTTGCCCCGAGATCGACATGTCCCAGGATCGAAAATTCTGCAATGTGATTGGTTGTTTTAACCTACGGACCTCTGAGGAAACAAGAAGCGATGTTGCCCTTTTGACTTCCCTTTACTTCGCGTGATTTGATTGGATAGAAATCGTAGCAGTCGATCCTTCGATATAAACATAGATGAAATATTCATCATATCACCAGAAGTTCGTACTTTCGACTGTCTTACGTCTTACTCCATCGTGTACGTGTCAGAGTGAAAATAAAGCAAACTAGACATGTCTGGACGCGGTAAAGGCAAAGCGAAGGGAAGTAAGTCGAAAACACGTTCTTCAAGAGCTGGTTTGCAGTTTCCCGTCGGCAGAATTCACCGTTTGCTACGAAAGGGAAATTACGCAGAACGAGTTGGCGCTGGAGCTCCCGTTTACATGGCCGCCGTATTAGAATACCTGTCGGCAGAAATACTAGAACTGGCTGGGAATGCTGCTAGAGACAACAAGAAGTCAAGAATCATTCCCCGTCATCTTCAGCTGGCTGTTCGAAACGACGAGGAACTGAACAAGTTGTTGGCTGGTGTCACAATTGCTCAGGGAGGCGTACTGCCAAACATTCAGGCTGTGTTGTTACCTAAAAAATCTGAGAAAGGAAGCAAGGCCGCCCACTAGAATTCGGATTGAAACTTAAGTTCATAAGTTTCCCAACCCGGCCGTTGAGTTCGCAAACACAAGGGAAAGACCTTCATTGCTATTTCATTGCTATCGACTTGTACAGCCTGAGACAGTAAATAATTAAGACTTAATGCAAGACATTTTAAGAACTAGCGTTCGCACGCTATGAATTTCAATATCGAGTTACAGATAAACTATAAGAAAATAAGCTTTTTGTTTTTCTTTTGCTTGAATTGTGGATAATTTGTCAATTCAGTTAACCGAGCACTTTGTTTGAACATCTCACGGTTTGTCTGAACATTTCAGAGGACATAAGTGAGGGAAAATTCCGTTTATCTTTGCAGTATCGATCAGGGACACTGATGTTATTTATATGACTTTATAAATGCAATGTTCAATGTTTAAATAGTTGTGTTGAGTGGTTTTATCTACCTTAATGCGGTATTTGATTATTCACATTTTTCGGTGGAGGGGGGGAGGGGGGTGCATATTTTAGTGGCCATTTCACCTGCTGTCCCAGTTTCTAAAGAGGCTACAAACTCCATTTCTGAGAGGGCTGCTCCATCAACATTGTCTGATCTTTTCAAGATATTTTCTAGGTGTTGAAAATTTAACTTTTCTTGAGGGGTTAAAGAAAGATTGGGTTACTTCCGAAGTGCATTTGATCAACAATTTGATCTTCTTTTGGGGTGTTGAAATTTTGACTTGCCTCCTCAAATTTAGTGGGGGTAGCTGACAGTTCAGTTGAAGTGATAAGCAAAAATGCTCCCAACTTTCATTGATTTCTGTTATTTTCACTTGCTTCATGTGCAGGCTCTTTCCAGGTGTCCACGCATCTGTTCAGTAATGATACTAATATTACTTTATTTATATAGTGCTATTTCTATCTATTTCTAATGCCATTTCTAGTTATTGCTGTAATCTGTGATCTATCTAATAGATCACAGATCACATCAAGATGTTGCTAAAACAAAAATGTGGCACATAAGTCTTTAGGCGGGTTTGTCATTGATTGATGTTCTTACCAAATTTTGACATCATTTGTGATGATGGTTGTTCCTCTGTCAGTAAACTGACTAATTCAAGTCTTGTAATTTTCAGTAGTTTTCTTTGACTCCCTGCCAAGAGTTGCTTTCATCCCAAAACAGCATTGAGTAGAGTTGTTGCCTCTTGCAAAACAAAAAAATCTCAGACTGTTCACTGACCAGAAACTGACTGCTCAACTCAAAATTTTATTTTCTTCATGGTTCTACTGAGTAATGGAAACAGGAGTAAAGATTTGGGAGCAGTGAGAAATGCTGCAATAACATGAACCACATGCTCTGTGAACCTTTTTCAAGTCCTCCCAAACTTTCATGAGTGTTAAAACATGAAGAAAACACTTTGTTTCTTCCAGAAAACAGAGGACAAGAAAGGGAAATCTCTTTCATTTTTGATTATAAAATGTTAATTCTCTTTGAGTGTGCCATGATGACAATGGCTTGTGTCTTATTGAGTTAAAGAAGTACCTCTTTTAGCATGCACTTTCTCACAGGGTGTTTGTAGAAGCCTACCAGTAGTATACAATGCAAATATTGCAATGTGATTGGCTGAGCTATCATCTGATATTAATAATAATAATAATAATAATCAATATTTAAACAGGGTGACCCCTTCAGTCGCAGGACTGGTATCAACAGGGGCCCTGTATAACGTAAAATAAAAAGAGCATGTATAAATAGTATATATCTATAAAAAACTAACTACTTTAAAAGATATGCTGAAATGTTTAAAAAATTAAAAAGCTTAAAAATGTAATAGCGTTCTCATAAAAATTGGATATCGAATTGAAAATGTTCTAAAAAATAACCTAAGAAAAAAAATCGGAGATAGCCTTGAAACATTCCTTAGGTAATTACCTAATGTGCTAATGTGTTCCATTTATCATGTGAAGATTCTTTTATTAAGACTGTTTGTCATAGGCACCAACTACATGTGGATTAACTAGGAGAGATTCTTATTGTAGGTACATGTAATTCCATAGATGAATTCCAAAGATGAATAAATTACTAAATCAATCAATCATTTGCCAATCAGCCAATTAATCAATCAATCAATCAATCAATCAATCAATCGATCGATCGATCAATTAATCAGTCAATTAATTAATTACCGGTAATATAAAAATTAAATATTAATAAATAAAGCAACAAACAAACTATTTGGTATCTTCCTTTGTTTCATGTACTGCACCAGTACATTAGAATGTATCAGGTGTTTACCAGAACAAAGGAAATACCAAATTATATCGAGGGTAAAATATTGAACCACAACACTTGCATACATGTATATATACAGTCATCTAATTTTAAGACTCTGGTTTGTGATCTGGCGGCCTTGGATCAGGCTTTAAACTCATATTTAGAAATATACAAAATAAAAATACAATAAAGATGTTCTAAAGATACTTTGTATTAACTGGTGATAAATGTTATATACACGTACACACATGGACTAGTTATTTGACAGAAATTACCTTTGAACACTGCTTTCCTAAGAGCTGACTCATTCACCACTCTACCATCTTTATCAAAAAATTTCTCCCAAGCATCACAATGTAGAGCTCGTGTACGTTCACTGATTTGAACAGGGCTTTCTCCATTGAATAAAGAGCTGTCTAATTCTGCAGTGGTCCTATGCCCATCAGCTTGCGTTATTCTGATTTCAGAAGGCTCTTCATAGTTTTCACACATTGCAACACAGTACCAACCATACAATAAGCACTAGATCTTACAAAAAAAAAAAAGATTACAACCGAACAGTTTTAAAACAACATGAAATAAATTTCCATCACTCAAAATGGATTACTTATTTCAATAATAACTGAATGTTTTTTTCTGAAGGAAAATTAATTTCTGAAATGAAAATTTACGGATATTGTACCCGGATATTGCACCATAGTGCACCTTCTCCATGATCAATCGAAATGGCAGATACAAAAATTGGTATTAGATGGCTTGGAAACGATGAAGCCATACAGAACAATATACTGATAGAGAAACCACATATGTATTTCTGGAATTTCAGTCCTGCATACAGTAATGTGTACTGTACCAAGCGTCCAGCTACAACCCCAGATCCCCGACGAAATACATGTAAATTGAATACGTACAATGTAATCACTGTCAAATCGAAAGTGTCGCATTAGATCAGAGTAAATATGCATGCATGTACATTCTCCGTTACACAGTAAATTTAAGTTAGATCACCAAGTAAAATCAAAACGGTGACAAATCCTAACCTCAGTAAGCATATAGATTAGCTTCACAAAACTGTAAAGCAAGCTTAAGTTTAAGTTTTATGATATAAGCTTATTGAAAATGTTTATTAAAGCGAGGCCTGCTTGCCTCCATGTTCATGTACGCCTAGCAAAATACTACTCGGTGTCTTTGGTAAAATACTTCGTGAAAATATGGTAACATTAACAAAAGCAACTCACCACAGCTCAGGCCATAGTTTCTGTAACTTTTGGCTCGAAAACAGAGCAGAGTTTCGTAAAGGAATGAACACTAAATTCCTGAAAGTTTCAGAGTTTAAACACTTCCTCACTTCCTGTGCCTAATACACGGCTCAGAAGGTATGGTTACTAAGGCTAAACATGGCGATCATTCGATAGAAAGCGTTTCCCGAAACTTGAAACTTGGTGCCTCACAGAGAATACCATCATTTATTTTGTGAAGAACTGGATTTTAAAATATGAACTCAATAACCAAAGCTGTGGTTACAAACAAGTTTTCGTCTGTCGGTAAGAGCTTGGGACTGGATGACAAAGATGATACGCAGGAAGTAGAAGGCGCTTCGGCGAAAGAGCTCCGAAAAATCGAGGAGGAGAACGCAGCAGCAAGAGCTAAGCGACAAAAGGAACATGACAAACGAAACGCTGAGAGAGAGAAGAAGCGTGACGAAATAAGGGCTAAGTACGGGCTAAAAGAGGGTCAAAACAAGAACCTTCGAACTGGCAATAGAGGAAAGACGATTGAACGAAGTGATAGTGACAACGACACGAATGTTAAAGGTGAAGGCGAGGATAAACAATGCCATGTAATGTAAAATCCAACAATTCGAACAGAAATAGAGTTAAAATGTTCATAAAAATCCATACCATAGTGTATGTGAAATGAAACGTTCTTGGAACCACTGGAAGTGAAATAATGTAAAACTTGAATATCCTTTTGTACATGTATTAGTACACGTGTAAAGAAAGTTAAAGTAGTATGATATTTTGCCGTAAAATAGAAAGCTTTATTCAGTTATTTCGTTTGCTTCATCCCCAGTTATGAGGTCCTGGCATGGAATTTTGAATACAATACATCAGTCTAAGAGTGAGGCTAGATTAAATATTTAGAGAAGACACTATTTTTCATTGACCTTCAATTTAGACATTTATATGAGATTCTTTGTTCACAATATTTGCCTCATTAGCATAAGTGATTTACTTTGTGATAAAACTACAAAAGTATCAGCTCTCTATATTGAAAGGTCATGGCATGTTTAATTGTGCACCAAGGAACATGAGTGTGATGAAATAATCACTTCTGGTTTGAGTTAGGCTTAAAACACTGAAAATTTTCCAAAAAATGTATGGATCTTAGTATCAGTATTTTATAGTGTTCAAAGCCAATATCCCTTCAATATCATATTCAAAGATCCAAAACTTGAATCAATTGCTACGTGTAATAATCTCTTAAAATGGCTGGAGTCAACTTTATCTGGCATAAAGCCTTGTCTTGAAGAGTTGATGTTTATGAGGCAAAATATGAACAGTGATGTGACAGCAATGATTGCCCATAAACTGCAGTATGTCACAATGGTCTGGCTGTAGAATGCTGATATCCTGTGCCATTAAGATAACTTCACATGTAGCTGAGGTTTTTTGAAATGATGCATTATTATAGTGAATGTTTATACTGGAAGAGCTGGAAACAAAATGTGTACTGACTTATTTTGAAACTCAGTAACAAGCTGAGTCAGGTGCTGACAGTATAATTTTAAGGGGCACAATCCTGAGCATGACTTTTAAAAGTCAAAACCCAAAGACATATTTTCAGTGATGGAAAGCTAGATATAATGGTGCAGTTTTGTAAAAATCGAAAAAGAAAAAGAAATCACCATTTAAGTGCGCTAAAGCTATAAAAAGGGTGAAGTAATGGTTATATAAGTCCCGTGTTTCATTTCTCTAACATTTTTCACGCTGATGTGACAAATTTAATGCCTGTTGTTTTCGGATTGATAAAACTGTTGTTTGTGTGACTGAGAAAAGGTCAGCTATGATTTTCGGAAAGGCAATGAGACCCAATGTTTTCGAGAAGTGGACAAATAAGACCTAATAGATTCAGGAGAAGACCCAAGTTCCCCTAGAATGACCGAACAGAAAAAAAAAAATTATAGCGCAGCCTGAAATTAACCTACAGAGCATATTGTATCAAGCACTCCAGATAACCTAACCATTTGAGAAAAAAACGTCGTTGGGCCGGTGCCCCTGTAAATCCATTTTTTGCGAGTGCGCTCAGAAACAGTTGATTAGAATGGTTTAGTTTAGTCCAGTGTACTTCCCTGACGTATAGGGTGTGAAATAAGATGAATCACTATAATATTATGAAGCTTGCGGTTGGAAAAGAAGTAGTTAGATGTTTGACGCAACAACAACAACAGCAACAGCAACAGCAACAGCAGCAACAACAACAACAACATTTTCTTTTTCCCTCTCTTTTTTGATCACCCAGCAAACAAGAAAGGAAAGGAAAGGATAAAAATTTTCCATTTTCTTGTGCTTGCGCTTATGCTTGCGTTTGCGCTGTAACAAGTGAAAATGAGATACCCAGTCAGGCATCACAAGCACAAGGATATTTACCACACCTGGTTGTGTTTGGCCAATGAAAAGACTGGACTCAGATTACCTCGCGCCTATATAAACAGTTTGGAAGGTTCGGATGATTTTGCTTGTGCTTGTGTTCGCGTCAAATTTCCTTTTCACTTAGGTCATCCCTATTGCTTGCATTTGTGCTTGCGCTTGCGTCGCTAGCGAGAACCAGGCTTGATTTCTCGCTTCATTGGCACGTGAATAGCCTGCGAGCAGGCTCACGTTGGAGCACAAGCGCGCACGGCGTAGCCGCGAGCGCGAAATCGAGCGGTGAAGCCGCGAGACGAGAACTTTCTTGGGCCTCTTCACCAGACTCCTTCCCTCTTCGCCACTCGCGCGTGTGACTCAAAGGTGAGCCTGCCCGCAGGCTAGCACGTGAACAGATCCGTGCACATCAAAGTGAGATTTCCTTCATACGCAACTTGATACGGAAACAAATGGTCTTTTATTTCCCTAAACGAGAACGGCTTCAAATTTTAATGGTATAATGGTTGAATACAATACGTCACGTTTTACTTTGGGATATTTTTATTTGAATTCTTTGGAAAATGCTATGTATTTGGGCACACAGCAAGTTTCATAATCTCAACTCTTTCAATTAAAATATTCCCAGTTAAGAT